TAAATTAATTATAAAAAATTATATGTATTATATTTTTAATCTATATTTTTAAGATATAAATTAGACAAATCCTATACAAAATTCAACACAAAAGTTCACAATATTTCTCTCCACACCACACAAAGGAATTTTAACAGGGGAAGGAAGTTTGATTATCCTGGGGGGAAATTCTTCTTAAAAATAAAATAAGTAAAATTTTTAGCAATATATATAAACCCTCAAGCATACGTCCTATGGGCAAAAAGTTATTAAAAATCCCTATGAAGGCATGTGTTCGAACTTGGACGTGGCAAATCCAAGGGAATTTTTTCCAAAAACTATAAACCGTGTGGTTTAACGGTTTGCAATGATCTGAACGATTTTGTCAATTCTAAACAGTTCAACCTCGTTACTGGTTTTCAAGTATTCACCTGGTCCATTTATGCCACCGGATATCAATTCGACCGGTGTTCAACCGACTAATCTGATTTAATTTTTAAAACAATGAGTTATATTTAATTAGTATGATTATAATTTTTAATTTTTAATTTTTAATTTTTAAAATTTAAATAATTAAAATTAATAATTAAAAACTAAAGTTTAAAATTAAAGTTGCCAACTTATTTATTTATTTATTTATTTTTATGTTAATTGCTTAATGAAAGATAATTATTTTTCATTCTTTATGTTATCTCATCCGCATATCATATAATTTAAATTCAGAAACTCTTACTTTAAACGAAAAAAAATTATCATCAAATTATTTAGATTATTGACAAGTTGCCAACTTATAAATCAGAAAAGCATATCAAATTGGCACGGGGCATTGACTTGCCATTCATGGTTTCCCTTCATAAAATATATACAGATGACTCTTCTCTACTTTTGTGATCATGTTTAGCACTAATTTTGATATGGTTATTTCATTTTATTTTTTGTATTTATGATTAAACTGTTCTAAGTTAACTTTTACATATATCAATATTAATTTTTCATTAAATAATTTTAACAATATATCTCTGTAGTAACTTAGTATACTTAACAAAATTAATTTTTTTAAATATTGATTTTAAAATTTAAAATT